GAAGGGAATGGGGCAATGTCTTCATTCAAGGTCTTCAGCGTGTACATCGTATCCAGGCACACGGAGTGTGACTCAAAACAGACGTGATCTCCAGCATCCATATTTGTTTCACAGGAGGTAGTTATATTTTATTCTGAACATGACATGTGCTTACGACTGGTGATTCCAATAGGAAGATTCACTAGACCCACTGTGTATCCAAGTCTGTCAACAGCATTTCGGTAGTCGGTGCATGGAATTTGTGTGTGAAGTTGGCTGTATCTTTCCTGTTGTCCCGAGGGCGCTCATATTGGCGGTTCCGTGTGGGGGGTTTCGGCATCCCTGCTAGTTGTTTGAACAAAGCTGCAGCTGACATGGATTCATTGGGTAGAAAACCGCTGTTTTTGTGGTCCATGTTGACGACAGTTTCGCTCTGTATGAGTTACCAGTGGTCGCTGTCAGTCACAAGCCATATCAAACACCACTGATATAATGCTGGATTGTGGACTGTCCCCTGGCAAGCCAATGCCATGCAGTCGTTCAAAGTTCCTCCTCACATCCCACCTTACTGATGATCCATTATACTTGGCGTAATAACGGTGATTCTCATTAGTGAACGATAGCGTCGGGCTGTGGTCTACTTGTCATCCCGTTACTGGTTGTGCCTAGATCGGTATGCAGAATCTTTTTCGTGAAGCTGCTGCTCGTACACAGTTTGGCACGCACCCTTCTGCTACTCCCAGAAGGTGTCATAGGGCCATCCTGGATCATTGTATAATTTCTGCTTATGCCTTTGGGGATGGGTTCCATGAATGCATAGGTTCCTTTGTTGCGTACTGAGTGGCCATCATCTTAGGACCCGGGCCGGTACGGTTTGTGAATTTCAGGCTTATACCAGACCCCATTAGATGGGCTTTGACCTTTGGCCAGGTGCCAAATATTATCTTAGGGCTTTCCACGGATAGGTCCAGATCTACGGTGCTAGGTGGTTGGGCTAAATCATACATTTCACAGTTGTCCGTTTCCTCTTGGTCAATGTAGTTTTCTGCATACTCGACCAGACGGGGTTCATCCAGTACAACAAGCAACTCCGACGGAAATAATCTATGTTACCTTTAAACGTAACATGGTGTCTGGAGATGCATTGATATAGCCACACAGGTTGGTTATATAACTGTGGATACTCTATCGATACTCCAGATTGTATAAATGGGTCCTTTGTGGTTGGCAAAACTGAAGATCATTCTAAGTAGTAAACTGTTGTATTACTAATCAGCAAACTGTGCGAATGGACTAACAACGTCGGTTGTTTATGACGCAAACTTTGAACACTGCGCGCTTTTGATATTGATAGTGGAACCTATCTATGTGATGGGAGATGGGACTCCATATCCGTCTCATGAATTTCAGCAAATTTTAATAAGATTATGCACACTAATGACTTGGTATGTGAATTATTTAATACTAGATACTTTCAAAAATTATGAATTTGACGGTGCTTGTAAACTGGCATCCTTCATGTTAAACCTGTTAAATGAAGACAATATTTACTATTATCTAAACTTTAACATTCTATGCACGCTGTGAAGTAATAGTTCCTTGTTCATTTCACAACTGGCAGGACCTTCGGCAGCTTTTAATTGAGTTTAATGACATTCAGTCAGTACCACTCAGGGCTCAAATCTTGCAGATATTTTGAGACGTATCAACGTGATGAAGCCTGTAAACTGGCTTCTCTCATGTTAAAATCTTTTTTAACACGAGAAGAAAACATTTATTTGTTTATTTATTTACTAGGATTAGATATGATAGGGGGAATACTCACTGGTAACACCTATGAGATCAACGTTAACGTCACCATTTATTTTTCATAGTTCGCCGAGCTTAAGAAGCAAATACTGCGTAGTTATATGGATGCAGTCTGCGCTGTGTACTTTGCAAGCGCTTGACGAAACCTCCTTTTAATCCACTTGAGCGGCCAGATCCTCGGATGAAGTGAAGTGTTCCCCTTTCTCGTATGCGTCTGTCAAGGGCTCTACCAGCCCCTGCCTTTGTTGCTTTCTTTCTGCTTGCTCAGAACACCACCGCGAACGCTGTCATTTGAGAGGAAAGATCACTTTGGTGAGCCTTGCTATGAGGCCTTCATCTTTTTAGGCAGGCGTTGGAATTTGTTTGCTATTATTCCCGTAGGTATCATGGATTTTTCGAGGAATTTCCGTCTATGGTAGTTAAAGCGGTTGTCTGCCGAGCATAGGCTTACCTGTATTCCCTGTGTTGTCCTCATTGTCATTCTCTCAGAATGTGAGATATCTGATGTTGCTTCTACACCCTCTGTAGATTTTAACGATCAGGAGTGCCAAAAGCATATCCACAACACCACCCAAGTTGGAGGATGTTGACTGTAAAAGTCGAACCTCTTACTTGCTTCCTGGTTCAGGACCACAGTGTAGTCTATTAAAGCCACTGACTTAATACGGTTCAGTTTAAGTTTGCTCCATATTTTCCCATAAGAATATTTTGCTCCTGTAACCACAGTAGTATGAGAGAAAAGGCCTGTCTATCAGGTCCATTGTGATCACTCAAACGTTTTGGGCCTGTTCAGCTGTTGACGCTTACATATGTTTTGTTCAGCCTTAGACTTTTCATTTGTTTTATACCAATGTGCCGATATATTCTTCACTTTTACATCAAGCTTGTGATCAGATCGCCTGGCCCACTAACCTCTAACTGCCGTAGGGACGCTTTGATCTGATAACAATTCATAAGACTACACATCACCCTATTAAGCAGTTCCAACTAACCCGGAAAGGACAGACACACAGGGACGCATAGGAAGTAGTCACCAACGAGTCGACACTATGATCAGAGTTAAATGCTAGTCACTAAGGGCGCGAACACCATAGAGTGCCTTGTTGCCAGAAATATCAATGGACTCTGTGGCGCGGTCATAAGAAAAACTGTTAGATAGTCTCTAACCTCACCAATTCACCTTCTCATTTGCGTATAACTATCCGGAAATTTCTTCGGTCTTGAACTTCCAGTGACACCTAGTATTACAATATACAGATCTCCTTCTTCCTTTTCCTACGTACAATAAACCCATTGTTTACATTTGGTCCATGCTGGCCAGTATAACCCTAGGATCCTACTCAGGCAGGAGTTTCAAAAACAGCATTGGTCTTCTCAATGATTACACAGTTTCCTTAACCATCTAGCCTACAAATCACAAGAAGCAACCCACAAACAATCACTTCCTACAGGGTAAAACACAGAAGGGATTTCCATACCCACCAAAGAAGTGAAACCACATAAAAGGGACCCAGCCTTTCCAGCTAGATGTAGGGGTTAAAGAGCTTCTGTACGCTACACCTGATGTAAAGGTTTGGGTACCATAAGTGCTTCCCATATCGCCACGGGGAAAGACCTGCGACCAGTACTAGCCGACAAGCCAGATAGCGGCTCCAATTATCCAGAAGATGCTTCCAGTGCCTACACAGCACCGCAGTTCGTGTAGAGACGACTAGCAGCCCTCACTCTGGAACTGTTCGTCAAGCTGTACAGGACCTACATACGACTTCATCAGGCGTCTTCGACGCCATTAAATCACCGTACCTGACAAGAGATGTGAACGTCCTAGAGAAAGTCCAGAGTCAGGTAAAAAGGTTTTGTGGGAATGAGGCAAAGACCCCCTAGGAATAGACCGAATATCTAGAGCTTCACTCTCTAACTGACGTTGATTACATGAAGGCCTGATAACGGCTCACAACGCATTAAGTAACCCAAGTCATCCGAACAGCGGAATCCTACTGAACGGCTACTCTTGCAGTCGTCGTGGTAACCCAGGGAAGGTGGCCCACCGAAGACAGAAAACCTAGGTGTGCCACATGTTTTCTGTCTGCGAGCTCACGATCGCCGGAACTCATTGCCCGCCGAGATTGGTAATGCTCCATCCGTCGATAGCTTCAAGAAGAGTTTAGGCATATGGTTTGCTCCCTTACGGCCGGGGTGCGGACTAGGTTGACGCAATGTACTAACTCCGCACAAACCGGTCCAGTCAGCCCCAAACAAAATCTTTTGTACCACCGCTGTTATCGCCAACCTGACTCAACCTTACACCTCCCTATCAGACGTCTCCTTCAGTTACCACCCCAACTAATAGTATTGCTATTTCTGTTCCTATAATCCGCCCCGTAATCTCATCCGCTCCTTCTCTTCCCATTGGCTCTGCGATCTCACCCTACTTGGTTAGGTTGTCCCTGTCACTTATCTTTTATGAACTTGTAGAAATGCGTGTTACTATTCCGTAACGTTAGGTCAACTCTACTTAACTTGATGTGCTCTAGCACCTGCTTAACCGGTACCTTACCTAAAGTGTGAGTACTGATAACGACACACAAATCAAAAGAACTGATTCCGAAAAATATTTGGAGAAGTAATGTATTTAATTAGCGCAAATGTAATAGTAACGAATGGGGGAAAAGCCTATCCAGCTTATCTAGCTAGTGTGGCTGAGATGGGGACTCTGAGTGCGTGCTTGCTAACCAGCACTAAGAAAGCGCAGAATGGTGTTCAAGCCTGCTCGGATGCATGTGCGTTAAAACAAAACTTAAAATACCCTAAGCATTCGGAAGCAAGTTAAAGGTTCATTTAGTTAATTTACTCAATCTATTTATTTTAGCCCTAGTTGTATTTTGGCGCCAGGAGGGTGCACTTGAAGTCCACCTTCTTTTTTCCTTCCCTTTCATTCCAATCCCTTCCCCTTCACCTTGTTTTCTTGTTCAGACTTCCTCTCCTCTGATTTTGCTGGACATCTCCATCCCCTTTTTGAAAGGAGCCTGAACAACTGTCTCGTGACATGACACTTGAGGAACCTATCTACAGCACAGTTCGTGATCAACAAATTTGATCAACTCCCACTCTCTTGTCTGGCTAACCAGACATGTAGCAGGCGATTAAGTTGACTCTCTGCACTGAAATTCACTAAAGGCTTGGAAACGAGTGAAAAGAAACTAATTGCCTTTCTCAGGCTTGTACCAAATATTGAATTTCAGGAAAAGGGTACACATTTAGACAGTTGCGCTACTATTGACATATCGAGTCTACAAACTATGGCGGACCGTAAGGCTGAGCTGGAGCGTAAGAAAGCAAAACTCCTAGCAATGCGAGAAGAAAAGAAGAAAAGAGAGGAAATTAAGAAGCTTGGCGCACAGGATGCTGACGGTTCAGACGTACGTCAGACTGCAGAAGAATTGTTGAAGGACCTGGGTTTACCTGAATCCACCACATTGCAGACTGCAACTATTCGTGATCTAGAGTCACCATCTCATGATGTAGTTGACAGCATTCTGTACGTTTGGTGTTTTACTTTGTTGTGACCACCGTATATATATATATATATATATATATATATATATATATATATATATATATATATGCATGAAAATTATCGTTCACGCGACTCACCCTTTGGCTATTGAGACTGTTACGTACCATGCTTAAAAGCTTTAGTTTCAAACCTTTCGATACGTTTCTTCGCATACAACTGCATTAAGGTTTGTTTTCAGGACGCAGATCTATGGTGAAAATACTTTGCTTTCTAAAACGTCTACTTTACAGTTATCGGAACAAGATAACATCTCTTATTCTTAAAAGACACTAGATCAAGTAAAGCTTGCTGAAAGCAGTTAATGGTCGTGGTTGATCGTTAGAAGAATGTGGAACTCAGAAGCTTCTGAATTGATCTATGCTTAAAAGCACGTTACAGGCTCTGAGCACAATAAGGAGTGGAAGAAACTTAAATATAGATTGACAGGGAGCTTATCAGAAGACCATAAATATCGACGATGAGCGAAGGCTGAAAAGACCGCAAAGGTAACGCTGATAGGTAACAGTAGAAAGTTACTTAGATTTATGAAAAAAACTGCAGAAAAACAGTTAACAGTTGGTAAGACCCAAGCGGAGAGGAAGGGGTCTGCGATTTACTCGTTTAGGAGATGACTGTGACGATGGATGGACCACTTCGAGGAATATTACAACTGGTCTGCATTTACACTTCCATTGTATGCTTTCAGCCACCTGAATAAAACACTGAAACAGGCCCTACAGCACTTGTACTTGGGAAGGCTGTATGCAGCCCGAAACGAAAAATAAGTAACAGTTTCAAAGGGGATGTTACCAGAGTTATTTAAAAATAGTTCAGGATTATCGGTTTGATTCACTGAAATGATCGGCAGTGTGTTGAAATCGGATATTATCCCGTCAGACTAATCTTAGTCCCTGATTGTTTCAGTCCAAAACGGGAAAGACATCGTTCTGTGATAAGCATAGGGGAATCAGTCCGATGAACCTAGTTTTATAGCATCACAGACTTTGTAGTCATTAGACTTATGTCGGAAACTCGATAACTGCAAACACGAGAAAACTAGGTAGGTTTCAAACTCGGTCGTCGGTCTGCGGCCGGATTTTCATCCTCTGTCAGATCTTTTCACACAGGCATACTTACCACCTCCTGATACCAACTATATTTGGTGATTAAAAGGTAGTGTTTGATTCCTTCGACAAACAGGTCTTACAGCAATCTATCACTGTTAGCGGTTCCGGGTAGGTACATTGAATTCCCTGCATCTGAACATCCGTTGGCGTGTTAGAGTCAATGGTGTAGTATTAGGGAAGTTGTGAATATCAAGTGGTCTCCGTCAAGAGTGTTCACCTTCTCTACTCTGAATTAGTTCTATCGTAGACATGTCTAAGAAGATTCTCCTCTCCCCGCTTGACTTTACAAGATTGGTCTTGTCACAGTAGACTCCTCAGTAAATCTAGAGCGTAAAGATGACACAATCGTGTTGAGTGAAAATGCTGAGAAGATGTGGTTTTCCGGACAACTTGAGTGGCACTTTTGGAATGTTTGAGATGCGTTCCTAGCCACGCAGAACGAAACTGTGCTGCAGGACCGGTTTGCATCAGTACTTCGTCTAGTGACAGAGAGTAGAGTGGTTGATCATGTTGACCATTTCATCAACTTGGGAGGTCGGATGAGCTCTAGTAAGTCAGTGACCCACGAAATCTCGGCTTTTAGCTGTTGCTAGTTGATCGTTGCACATGGTTTCCAACCGATTGGTCATCGGTTCAAATCTCACTCCAGTCACCGAGATTTTAGGCAGTCAAGTAGTATCATTAGCCTTAACGAAATAGATGTAGCTCATTACCTACTGTACGAGTATGCACTACATATGTGTTAATTTCTTTCCTGTCGTGGAATTATGATATCAGTTGCGCAAAGCCGTACGTAAACTCAGGCACGAAAAGAAAGTCAGTTGATGAAATTTAAAACTCATAGATACTAGTGGTCGAGATATGTGTTATGTTTGCCGAACCACCATTTGTCTGGTTGCAAAGTGTTACCTTAGTTTTAGGCCGGTAAAAGGTGGAACTGTCAGAGTGAGACATGGTGTCAGTCTCGAAAGATTTTGACTGTTGTTCTGAGTGATTTTAGTCAGTGGAATTTGCCGGTTGGTTTGGTCGTGATTGCCAAAATCGGTTGTTAATAGCTCTGGGCAACGTAGCTCAGAACTGATCGTAATGGTGAAAGTGCACCCACATTATTTCCGTCTTACTCGTAATAAAAATTTCGTTATTTTATCTCTTCCTACCCTCTTTTCCTCCCTTTTGGTGATTTCCCTTTTTATTGCTCAACTTTCTATCTTGATGCCTACCTTGATATGATGTGTTGTATCTTGAACCACTAAGCGATAATACCAGGTTCCTTGTTGATTTTGAGTAGCTGGCTCATAAGTTAGTTCTAATTGAATTGAATTGCTATTTTAAAAAACCCTTGTTATTAAATGATGCTTTACATTGTATAAAGACTATACACGTGAAGATATGAAATTTCCACTGACAATGATAGTTTTATGTGACAATCGTCTCCATATCGCCTGTCACAATATTGGCTGGGTAACGGTTATTATGAAGGAAACCCCTATAGTCTTTTGGGGTATTTGTATTTTGAATTTTAGTCCAAGTATAATGGGCGACCTAAGAGTTTGTAAATTCGTTGTGCTCTATAAATGAAGTTTTTGGCTTGCAACATTTTATCATGTAGTCTAGCGTTGCAGGGGCATACCTGTATCCACTAAATTTGAAATATTTAGTTCTTTTACTTCTAACATGCCTTTCACGATTTGGTTAGTTTCTTTCACCCTGTAATAAACAGTTACAGTTCTAATTTTAGACCTATCATGATAATAAATACATTTTTCACTGATGTGTTGTTGGGTTTTCAACGTTTATTTTCTGACTTATCTTCCTAACGCCTTTGGTACCAAGTGCCATGTGGATATTGCGTGACTGACTTATTTTCGGTATATTGCGTGGAGCTTCAGGCGTCAAACATTGCTAGTCGGTAATAAGTTGTCAGTATGTCTGCCCTCAACAGCACACACCTTTAGTCTGGTGATCTTAGGGATATGATTAAGTGCTATTTTGACCCTTCTTACGACTTACAAGATGGTAATTTAACTGGATTACGACTTTTATTTATTTAGATTTTAATCAGTGGTTAACTTAAGGAAAATACATGTGGTTTCAGAAGTGTATCTGAACTAATTTCAGTCGCTTACCACTATTCCGTTTCACTTTGCCTACTTTTTTGTTGCACATTAAATGAAGCACTGGTAATCATTCTGAGATGAAGTACGGCACCCAAGCATCTATCACATACCTAGTGGCATCGGATGAGGCTATTATTTGTTTATCGATGCTAGGTAGACTTTTTACTGGTTCTGTTATGTAAATTACTTAAAACTGTACATGGTAAATGCTGGTAGGAAAACTAAGTTGTACTTAAGATTGAAATGGTAAACAAAAGTGTAGGTTAGATGTTTCGAAGGTAATCTTGGAATGTTTATTTTTACTGTTCAAGCATCGAATCCTGTTATCGGAAACCACATCCGATTTCGGTACCGATCGTTTTTTTGTTACCCACACAATTGTATTTAGTATTATGTAAACTTGAAGGCTCGCCCTTTCATTAATATTGTCAGGTTTCTAGTAGGTCTGATTTAATCTAATTTAAAGGCAGTGAAATAGGGCTCACAAAATTTACCGTACTTCCAATATTCAGTATTGCATTTCTGTTTTATGCTTTTGTTTCTAGCCAGCGTGGTGTGAAAAAGCGAAAGAATCTGCAAATTTCAGAAGTGTTTGAGACTATAATTCCACCGCCGGAAACGATAATATATAGTAAGGAAACACAAACTTTAGATGAGCCACCTGAACGCAAAAGTAAGCAGCTTTATGATTATATATATATATATATATATATATATATATATATATATATATATATATATATATATATATATATATATAATATGTATTTTCACACGTTTATTTAGGTTTTAGACGACCCTGACTACTAAACAAATCTAATGGTGAACTGAATTAAGATGGTTACAAACTACAGTTTGAGATTCATGGGAAATCACTGCGTGCTCTTACCGTAATTCATCAACTGTTTTGCCTATTTGCTGTCGCGTTACAGTATTCACAGAAGCGCTGTGCACATAGTTTCCGCAAAATCACACTAGTTATAGATGCATCTTAAAATTTCAAGTCAGCCAGATGATGCAAATCCCTAAAGTTATTGACTATTGACCTTTAAGTGTGCATAGAAATGTAGGCTGCCTAACGTCCTTAACGTTTTAGAAATCAATGGTTATTAACTTTATATTGAATGTTTAGATACTGAACACTTGTGTAGATGCATTAGCTCTTTACTTGCTACTAAATCTTAAATGCCATAACACTATTCGTTTGTTTCCAACTCGCTCATTTTCTTGTTGTACTTAATTTTCAATGTTTTTACCACTTTACTGGTCTCATGAACTAATATTCTCTTTTCCCTAACCTCTGGCCTGCTTAAAATGCTCAGCTCAAATTTACTTTTAGTGGAGATAAAGAATCTACTCTTAAAGCTATGAAAGGAAATATTTGGATTTTTCGTATGTAATTAGTTTTTATCTAACAAATTGCACTCAGTCTTAGTTTAATTTTGAGTAAAGTACCTGAGTGCATCTGTTGCTTGGTTTAAGTGGGTGGTTGCAATAACTGCATGGGAGTGTCATATTTTTGTTTAACGGTTGTTTCTTTGAGTACCACACAGCTCATGTCGACAAAAACCAGCGAATACTTCTTTTTTGCCTTCCCATGATGAAAAATTTCCAATACTAACTGACAGACTGTACGTCAATGTTTTCTTTGATAATGTATGCGAAAAGTTTTATCCAGTTATCGTATTAGGTAATTGAAGAAGAGACTGAAACATTCTCTAATGTTCATGAAAATGCTTTATGACCAAGATCCAGTCGCTAATTTTGAACGTCATATTGCAATTTGCATAAGGTCTATGTCCTAATATAAACTAAAACAAGCCACCCGAATGTCTAATCCACACGATAACTCAGTAAAGTCAATAGTTGTCTTCCTTTGATAATCAGTAATCACTGCGAGATTATTAGCAATCTGGTCCATCTGGATTATAGGATGACTGTACATGTTGGTTTTCGTAGAACTTCTTTGACGGAGTCAACTCGATTCGTGGTCATGTACAAACATTTCTGGAGAACGATTAGACCATCCACTAACATTCAGTTTTATTACTCTATACTTCGAATATCACATACTTCCCACCTACAACAGCAGTACTACGTAACGATTCTTGTCACCCAATACTGTATGCCAGTATATTATTTTAATGGTTAGTTTTATCATATGTTGGTAGCAAATTTTGTCTTTCTGTTGTCATTTTTCGGATTTTATTATCCGCCAATTTTTTTCTCACGACATACCTTGAAGTTTATTTCGTAATAAAAAACTTTGTTACGGTTTATATTGTCTTAGAGTGCTCTGAAAAACTATTTTCTTTTCACTGAAGTTTTTGATTATTGGTGTGGTCCATTTTAGCTATACAGCTGATGTAAGAGGCTAAGGACTGAATCTTGTGTTGTCTTTTTCCATTTACTTTTTCCTGTTCTTGCAAATTTCTATCAGAAAGCCGGATTCATTGTAGCCTCTGACAAATTTCATCCTACTTTCATAACCTTAGCGCTATCGCATAATAGCGTAACACTAGTGATCCAGTGTAAAATGGATAAAAGTGATCCAATAAGAATTTGATGCGTTGTTGTTAATGTTCTTTATACAGCCAACTTCGATTCATTGTATTGTAATTTCTCTTACCAACTTCTGTGTAATCGTTTAACATTTGCACACTAATCTATATGTAGTCTTTTGCGAGTCTTCAGCGATGTTGTGTTAATGCAGCCTTCAAGTATTTACCGGTAAGTTTCCAAAATACCAACCCATTAGTTCAGTATATCAGTACTAAACAAACACTCGTTTCAGAAAAGATTTTGCAGCTTCGATTTCAAAAGAAATGTTTTTATGTATACCTTAATTTCGGCGAATGGTTTTAAGTTAAGAAAGTGAAACTGGTTGTGACATCGTTATGAACTGGCACTAACTAAATCCACTTTTCTTCGTTAACTTTACCTTGTACTGGTAGTGTAATTCTGTTAATTTTTCATCATGATTCGTTTTCAATGTTATACATGTTCTACTGTCCTATTCTATCCTATCAACTATGCATATTTGATTGACAGATCGCGCAACGGATTATTATGGTAAGTGGAAAACCTCGACACCTTAGTGTTGTCTATTCTTCTGGCAAAAATTATATCTAGCGCTTGCAAATGGATTGATTTTGTTTGCATGTTATCACGAAATGCTCTTCTTACCTTCGTCTTATTCTTTTGTGAGACCGCTTCCAGTCATGTGAAGTGATGTTTTGGAATGTATACATCTTTATACCTACCCCAGGTATAGGGTTGCTAATGCATATGTTGAAAAAATGCATCACTGCTAACATTTTGTATTACAATCACTCTGCTCCTCACTTGTGTCATCTAACCATCTTAGCGTTTATGAAAATGATTTGCACGTAGTAAGAGAATTCTTCTTGAAAAAAAAGAGCAACTGAAAATTTCCTAATTATCGCAACACTTATAAGCAGTGATTGTGTTGTCATTACTGTTATATCTAGTATGAACTAACTAGATAGGTCAGGTAAGGTTGTGAAATAAACTTCTATTCTGATGAAATCGGTTATATTTTTTTTCGAACACAGAACAATCTTTTTTAAATTAGTGTGTTTGTTTATGTTTATATACCTGTTCTATTTTGTGACCATCAAAATAAATTTATTACAGGAGATCGAACAAAATAAAATAAGAATCTCAGATAGGTACCATTCTATTCACTATAAAACATTCTATTCAAGACATTTTTTAATTTAAAGATTCCCATTAGGCATTCCAAACACATGATTTGAGCTAGCATATGTATTCAATAAACCTTTCTCACGCTCTACAGTTATACATCCATGGATATTATTACACAATAGCCAGTGTAAGGCATACAGAAAATTATCTTTGAGGCAGTGGACGTGGTGGTTAGATGGAATCGAATGCAGTTGGATCATTGGACAACTTTTTTGTCCTAGTATGAAACTTCTAAGCAGTGCATACCCACAAACCATCGATGGATAAAACCACTACTATCAGTTCTCCTGGCGAGCACGTGGCAGAGGAGGAGACAAAATTGTGGGGGGTGGGTTATGTTTGGTTGGTGGGTCTTGTATACTACTGGAAGCGTGCAGGTGGTTGACGCTTGCTGACTTCCCACATCGTGAAAGTTTATTTCTTCTTAAGGTTCCTGAAAGAGAAACAGATTTGTGCGACCACAGAGCCTGAAGAACGTCTGCTTGTGACCTCTCACACAGTATTTTACGGATTGTTATTTTGCGATGTGGTTGTTCCAACCCCGGATAGAAAAACCCATACCGCCAACACCGAAAGACGGCAAAGCAAGGAAGAGTGTGCTATTTTCAGGCCCAAACCTTCCTAGCACACCTTTCCCACATGAAAAACAGCATAACCGTAACACTACTGGTTATTCAGGGGAGACATTACTGTCTAGCCGGCAGTGTGACTTCTCCCTTAGAACCCTATTGTAATGAAGCAGTTTAAACTACGATGGTAACTGCTTTTAGTCTTACCAATATCCAACAAACCTTTCTCATAAGGTGAGACCTCCCTGGATCATTGTGATATACAAGTCCGACCACCATGGGAAGATAGCAGCTATCGGTTAATCATTGAGTAGATAGGATCGTGAACCTTCATATATATATATATATATATATATATATATATATATATATATATATATATATATAAAAACCGTAACGCTGCACTGGTCAAGTGTTATTACTTCCCTACTTTCCTTTTCCTTACTGTTTTGTTTCATATTCCCCCCTTGATCTTATTTTCTTTAAAATTTATTGACATTTTTTCTTTATAAATTCCCTACACCATAGATTGCATTTATGTATTGGTTACGTAGTGAAGTATGTAAATCGTGTGTATTGACCATTAATACTGCTGCTGCTCAATCACTACTGTAGTCGCACATACACGCAAACCACTTTTGTTGAGCACCTGTCTTTTTGTGAAGTATTTTGTGCTTGATCATGGCTACATATTAGTAGTATATCAGTTGAAATTGGTTTCTTATGAATCTAAGTACGTGTTGAGTTTATTATTATTATTATTATCATTATTATTGTTATTTCAGTTCAATAATTTTATGCCTTTTTTGTTCTTCTGTGTGTATTCTCCATACTACACGTCCTAAATGTATTCAATTCCTTCTGTTTTGAATAAATATACACATGTTTTGTTGGACACTGATAAATCCTAGTTTCTTTTTTCAAATGTGTATTCTAAATTTCTTTGGAAGACTTGGGTTGTCCTTAAATGGTATTATGCGATTGTTCAATGATTTTAAGTGACTATTTCATTGCTTTAGGTGAAATCTACTTTTAAATGTCTATGGGAAAGTAAAACTAGTAATCTTTAATCAATCTAGTAAACGAATTTTCTTCAAGCTGCATGGTCACCATTGATTAGTTCAGTTATTTTCTATTGGTTCACTTTTATATACCATGCCTATTCTCTTGTATGCATATCAGGTTCTTTGGGTTTCACTTCATTTAAAATGGTTGGCCACAAGTCTAACATATATTCGTGTCGTCAGTACTGCTGTTGCCTTTCGTCTCAAATAGCATAAAACAAAGTTAATCGAAGTGTTTCTTGGTACCGTTGCGTCTTCCAAACTGATTCTCAAGGTTGAGCTTGCACTTCAGCCAGCCAAAGAGCTACACCTATCCACATTAAGGCCTCGTCCACTGAATGCTACTATGTATTTTTGCCAGTAGTAAAAAAACAGAGAAAGATGCGTTTCCCGATCCTCATGAGCAGTCTTCAAAGTATGTATTCGAGATCATAGGAATGATAATGCAAGTGAGCTAAGTAGGATAGTTAATTCTCCTACACTGTTCGCCACAACTATACTTATTTTTTCGCCAACCGCCAGGCTATGTGATTGAACATTAGGATTTTGTGTAATAGATATTCCTGCCTCTTTGTACTGATACTGGGGAAATAGTATGACAGATCTGTTCCTCACTTATTATCACAAGTCATAAATGTGCGTCTCAAAATTCAGAAGAACTGGTTCTCCAGTGAGGTAGGCGCTGGTGAACAACTTTAGACTGCAGATAATAGATGTGAGTGCACTTACCTGAATACGCTTGTAAAAATAGGCGGAACAACCGTTAAAGTGAGCGGCTGTTGAGGCATGGTTACGGGTCTTGACTGAGTTAATGGCATTAGGGTTACTGGAATAGTATAGGTGTAAAACTTGGGGATTGTGGTAGAATTTAGTTCCATATTAGATTTGTTTATTTGACTTATAACACACAGTAATATGGTATTATTTACTTTATGACGTCTCGAGCACAAATTATTGCTCATAATCATATCAATGTCTTGTTCAATTTTATTCAGGATCGTACTTAACTTCCTGGTAATCCTGTGAATTTCTCCCTTGAGACGAAGTTTGCTGACATGTTCTATTGCTCTTTTGATTTTGTCAGTGGGATACATAGACGAAGATATTTAGGAATAGTTTGATTTTCCATACAACAAACATTGAAAATACGATGATTTGTGAAACGTGCTTCCGTTTTTGAAAGTTGTGTGTGTTTATTGACTGGTCTTCGAACAGGAAGATCTTATGTTTCATGAATATACGGGTAAAACTTGGGCAATGTGGTAGGATTTAATTCCGTATTAGATTTGATTTATAACACAGTGATATAGTATTATTTGCTTGATGATGTTTCGAGCACAAATTATTGCTCATTGATATGATTATGAGCAATAATTTATACTCGAAACATCATATCACTGTGTGTTATAAATCAAATAAACAAATCTAATATGGAATTACTGGAATGGTATCGCAGCTTGATTACATTCCAGATTGCTTCGATTCGCGCTCCATGAGTCTAAAACATTTGGTGATAGGCCTTCTATGCAATTCACAACTTACATCAACTAAGGCAGACTTCTTGTTGCTGGAAAAGCCTCTGACTGTTATCAAATGCAGACAATACTTCCATCTCTCCTACACATTGTGACTACCAAACTTCATGCTCCTTGCGTAAATGCTGATTGGTCGGTTACAAAGGGGAATCACGTAAACAAGTGTGCCTGCTGTCTGTCGGAATGGACCGGCTATCATCAACGAACTGTAAGAAGTTTGCAGAAACCTAGTATTTGTTTGCAAGAAAGCGGTGGATACTATTATGAATAAAGTGAAAAAAAACTAAGCGTATCGGATACGCCGAATGAAGCCTTTTCTGGGTGGGTTAAGATGGGTTGATTTAATGCTGAAAACTAATAATCCCAGTAGATTTATGGTAATTTTAAGATTCGCAGATCGGACCATCCCATAAGACTTATGGTAGATTTGAAAGTCACCCCAAATTTTGAGTTGTCTAGATATTTAGCTATGGTACTGAGCCCCACTTAAAAATCATTGAAAATCTCGGCTTATTAACTCATACCTTGAAGCATAGTTTAAATGATATACCATTAGATGACAAAAAAAGGTTGGGTTTGATGTAACTATCCCTAACAAAAGTGGTGCGATTGATAGTTTCCTTTGATTGTTGGGTCACTGATTGCACAGGTTTTCCTGTTGCTCATTTCGCTGCCTGACTTCTGGCCTTCTAGTTGTTTGTCATTTTCTTTATTGACCAGGTCGGGTCTATTTTTATACGTCTATTTGTTGCTGATTGATCTAAATCCCGAGCTCCCAGGGGTTCTCTGATATTCTTTGTGTTTCCTCTGTTTAAGACCTCTACATTTTCAAAATCAAATTCATGTCAATAGTTGTCCACAAGCATTGATATCAGTGACGAAATGTTGTGATGTTTAATAGCCAACTGATGTTCAAGTAAGTGAAAGCGAAAGGCATGACTACTTTGTTCACGTAGTGCTGATCGCAGTTGTTACGGTTGATTTTGTAAATAATATTTCACTTGCCTTCTTTGGCTGCGTCTCTTGATCTGTGTAATATAGTTTGAAGGGTATTCATTAATTTATGAGTCACAAATTCCAAATGTTCTCAGCAGTCTTGTCGTGATCCCTGATATGTCTTTTGTGTGCGGTAGAACGATCCGTTTTCTGATTTCCGTGGATGGTATTCTAGTTGATGATGAATGTGGGTTATGGTTTCGAAGCGCTAATAGTTATATATATATATATATATATATATATATATTCCGAAACGAATATAATACGCACCCTTAGCTGACAGCTAACTTGGTAAGCAAGAGCCACTGACTGCAACCCCGGGACGAATAGAGAGAAGACCGAAGCTGGCAGATGGGAGAGTGTATTACTCCGAGAATATAATATAATTAATCAATCCAAAACACTTGAATAAGTATACACGAGAAAAATGACCTTGTCCTCAATTTGAGGCATTTGCATAGAATGGGATAGGCATCTTCTGATGGCGGTAAAAATTGGAGACTCAAATGTACAGGAAGTTAGTTCACACTGATCAAATCCTCAAGTAGAGTTACAATAACCTATCAACGCACAAAATTAGTTGTGTACAGACTCTATTAAAAAGAGCGGGAACACACTGCAGTACAACAAATTCACGAAAAAAATAGTGATTACCTGCGGAACTTAATCTGAAGATGCCTATCCCGTTCATCACCAACTAAAATGTCATCCACGAAAATCAGAAAATCGATCATCCTACCGTACATAAGAAACATCAGAGATCACAACAAGACTACTGAGAAGATATGGACTTTGTGTGCCTCATAAGCTAACAAATTCCGTTCAAACTATATTATGCAGAACAAGGGACGCAACAGTCAAATAAGTGAAATATTATTTGCAAAATTAACTGCAATCAACCATTTCCGTTGGCCTACAAAGCAGAGTGGAGAAACTTTCTAGGCTTACGAGTTAAAGCGATTCTGAAAGGTTTCTGTAATATAGTTGCAATCTCGGAGACTTTCTTCGTGTAAGGTAAGATAATCCTTCTGTTGGTCTCCAAGAATGACATTTTGCTTGACGGCGAATTTGGCAAACATCTTTTGATGAGGTTACATAGATAGCCGTTCTTCCGAAGATAGTTGTTGAATACTTTTCATTACTCCGTAACACTGAATTGATGCAATGTGCCTATCCTCTTTTGGACAATGTTTCTACGCAAATGAATATATGTTTTTATATCGCTACTATGATTAAGGATTTGATCTGTGTAGGTTGTTTTTTTGTATGCTTGAGTTTCCAATTTTCTAGAATTCGTCCTAGCTATCAGAACATCTAGAAATACAAGTTTGTTGTTTGATTCCTCTTCAGTTGTTAATTTGATGTTGTGTGAGACTCCGTTGATTAATTTATAAGTCTTTTCCGGTTTGTTTCTTTCAGCTTTTCAACTTAACGTATCCAGCTTTTAACGGTTATGGTACTTTTAAGCAATACATTCTTCCAGCATTGTGCAAGTAACTAGAGGTGTTCTTTTGCAGAGTGGAGGCCTTTCGCCCGATACCTATTCCACATCTTGTTCCAGATATCCTGCCACTGTGAATTATAGTATTTGTTAGTCAGCTACTAAAGTCTACATTAAACGACCATCATACAACTGTAAACTTATTCAATCGAGCAATGATACTCATTAATCTCTAACCAAATAGTCGATTTACTGTGGAACCGTATATCGTATATTTGATATCGCGCTCTTTTGCAAACGCCAGAACACTGAACCGGTGTTCAGTGCTTTTTGGCTTTCAGTCCTTATCCAACTGAAATCAGTTTTAAATCAAAATTGTCTAGAGATTGTTTCGCTTCCCCCAGTGACACTATAGTTTTTGAATAAATAAAACAGAAAGTGTCATATATTTTGACGTTTTACGTTCGTCAAATGGTGATTTACTTTCAGTCTCCAACATATATTGCTTACAAAAGAAAATAACTCGACAACCGCCTCTGTATTTATAAAATAAGTCACACCTGATTTGTCACTACTACTGATACTATATGTAGTCCTAATTCCCAGTCAATGAAGCAGGGCCTCAAACCATGACTTATTGGTTAAAAATTGGGCTCCTAATTCAATGAACTGCATTTCCGCCTACAAAAGAGTTACAGTAGAAGAAATACGCTTGCTTTTTCTTTGCATGTCTTTGAAACATAGTTCAGTGGCGTACACATATATCATAGGTTTTAATTCACTTCATCTACATCGGTCAAGGCAACTAAGTGTTTCTGTCAATCCGTATTTATTCAGTACATACATATGACTGACAACCTGTTCAATCCTTGTGTTATTCGTCAGCCGATGCATTTGGATCTGTGTCTCGGATGTAGAATCTTAGTTTGTCTCCACAAAGTTACAAGTTCAGGTTTATTTCACTCACTTCGTTCTAGTCAGCACGCGGTACCATCAATGCCCACAAAATATGTGCAACACTGGTAATCTGATCTACAAAGCTGTACTCAATTGTTCAGTTGTAGTGTGAAAGATAATATACTATCGAATTCAAAATTGAAGTCCTACACACAGAAATATTTCTCGACATAACTGCATGTGTACTGCGAAAACACTGCTTGTCTAACGTTATCATACATTGGTTCTATGTTATTTAATGAAGTAATCGTAAATCAGTCCTTTGTTTCTCACATTAACAACTCTAATCTGATTTTATGTTCATGCTCCGCTGCTTACTTTACATAACCTCCATATAACTACTTTTATGTTATTGTATCATCATGATTTATAACTGAATTTACTAATGATGTCATTATTAATTACTTATATTATTTTTCATACTTCGACATCTTATAATAACCTTATTTTACAAAGTTAACTCATTTAAAGTTATACCAACAAATTTATAATGAAATCGATAAGAATACAATTTTAAAGCTGAGAAAATAAAACTACGGGAGGAGGAAAGTTTTCCTTTTCGATGAAATCTTTCATTCATTTATTTATTGCTGAATAGTCAGTATTTCAAAGTTCCAATCGTGAAATACTGGTTGTTGAGTAGTTCGCAAAGTTCACATTAATTGGATTAGGTCAGAAGCGGGCTCGGGGTGGCCAAACCAAAACGTGTCACCAATCCGTGAAATCTCTGACTATTAGTCTTAGCAGTGTTGAAAAATGTAGGCTATCTGGTTGGGGTCTTCCAGATGGGAAGAATCAAGAGTTGAAGACTTTCGGCTACGGCTGAAAATCCGTCATAGTGGCGCAGATGTATTCACTCCTCGACATCTTCTAAAGCTTAAATATTCACATTAACGTTTATCTTCCGATTGTTTATTATCTCACACATTTTTGCCTACTTTGATAATACTCTTTTTCTATCCACCTGTTCTTTGTGTACTATTGTGAATTGTGGCAGCTTGAAGCAATGTACTTATGTTCGAGGTCCTACACTGGTTTTGTCAGTCTCGGAAGTGAACATTGTCTAGGTAATGTGTTCTTCTTGACTGTTTTTTTTCGTGTACTCAAGTGGATAGGCATGTCTTGTGGGAATTCATGATATACACTGTGATATGTCTATTTTGCCGAAATGATTCTTTTCTCAATCATCACTAAACATTATTTTGTGGTGTTTGAAAATGCCAGTTTTCTGAAGTTTTGTAGAAATGGGTTCAAGTGTTTTTTTTTGCAAAAAAAAAATCTGTTTGATTACAACGAGATATGTAGTCGCTTTCTCATTTTTGGTTGTAATTAGTCGCTCGTACTTTTATATTGTGTGTATTTATTCTGCTGTGTTTTTTATTGCATGTGACTGATATCACACATCACTCTATTATGTTTGATTTCTGAGACAATTGTCCTATCACTATTCAATAGAAATTATTTTAATCATCTCGATCCCAGTTATTCTATGAATTTGATGAGCAAGTCATTGTTTTATCAACTAAAGTTAGTAACAGGAGCACAATTTTTAAGGATAATAGATGCTGAGGATGTTAAAAATACCTCAATTACATCTTACAGGTATCAGTAGACAATGTTTGTTTAATTGTTTGCCAGATAATAAATGGCGTCGAACAGTGATCAAGGGAACTCAAGTTCAAAAGTAAAAGCACTACCAAAAAATAAAAAGTTCTGCGTTTGCAACCACAAATTAGTTTTGCCTTACAAAACTAGATGCAGAAATAATTCTGAAAAGAGAATTCAGTGTACTATAAATGCTATTCGATCATGTACTAATACTAAACGTTCATAATTTTAAAAACTTAATTTTCTTTTAGCAAGCGTATGTTTAGTGTGTCCATTACAGTGTATCTCAGTCCTATGGCTTATATGTTGTTGTGGTTTCCTTTAAAATACATCTTGGATAGTTTTAACATATGATGAAAGTAATCGAGATGAGGTGGATGCAAATGCAGCATTGGCTGAACTGGAGAAAATGCCACATATTGGTGTTACTAAAACTGGACAAACTCGTGGAATCATCGATAAAGCTGATGGAAGCCGTGCAGTCATGGATAATACCGACGAAATTCATTCGGATGAAGTTCAGCTTACTGATGGTGAGTGAAATTATTGCTTTTCGTGAACTTTGTTCCTCAATATTGGATGTGTTTGTAAATGGTCTTTATATTTTAAATGTAGCTGACAGAGAAATTACTATCAGTTTCTTATTTGTTTTGGATTTCAGATTTAGTTGTTCATTAGCGATAATGCTTTACTAAAGGTCTCAGTGGCTAGCTTCATTCTGGATCAAAATTTAGATATTTTGCTGAGTTTTATGGTGCGTGAGAACATTTGCGATAACTTATCATCAAAAAGACGTATTTATACTGGGTGATGATTGAAGGTGAAATGAAAATTTGAACGGTGGCCGGACTCGAACCAGTAACCACCGGGTTTCTGGCCCGATGCTCTACCAACTGGTTACGAGGTCCGACTGCTGACCAGATTTTTATTTCACTTTAGTCACCTAGGGTTTTGCTCGACTACCATGTGAATTCGCTTGATCGTATTCACAGTAGGTGCCTAGTCAGGACTTCTTTCAAACTGCGGCTGTCTCAGATAGTCAAATGATAATCAACATCATGCTCTCCTTCTCTAATTCAGTTAGATTTGGATCGAGATAAGTTCTGACTAGGCACCTACTGTGAATACGACCAAGCGACAGTAACGCGTCACAAATTCACATGGTAGTCGAGCAAAACCCTAGGTGAATAAAGTGAAATAAAAAATCTGGCCAGCAGCCGGACCTCGTAGCTCAGTTGGTAGAGCATCGGGCCGGAAACCCGGTGGTCACTGGTTCAAGTCCGGCCACCCGTTCAAATTTTCATTTCACATTCAATCATCACCCAGTATAAATACTAGTCTGCCAACCTACGGCTATCTCAGATAGTCCAATGATTGAATGACGTACATCATTTAAACTCAAGCAGCTCATTTTCGGTAAGCTGACCAGTGACAGCGTTTACGTTTCAGCAAGTTCGACGCTTCATAAAATGATCTATCTACTCTTTTGTCATCTTGCTGTGTTTTAAGAGATACTGACAGCATGAAGCCTACTACTGAAAATTCAACCTCACTGACAAGTTTATTGCACTTACATTCTTCTTGGTATCAGTAATCGAATTTAATTATGGATTATCTCAACATATTTGTCAATATTCTTAGCTGTCAGTTGTGGTGATGGAACTAGATATTTTGCCGACTTTACCTTTGCTAAACTGCTTTCTTTTGTTTCGCATCTGTTTTCAGTTCTCTGATATTTAGGCTTGGATACGCGATAAAACTGTACATTTTAAATATATAACTTAGCCTCCAGTTTTGTTGTATATTTTTCCAAATAACAGGTGATTTTGTCAATAAAGGCATCCATAAGTTGTATTGAAATGAAATTCCAGTACATATCATAGAAACGGAACACAAAATTAGTTGTTTTTTTTGAACCATGGTTCTACAAAAAGATTCAATTACATTCATATCAGAGACGACTGTATATACCCTTTATGTACGGGTAAATCTCAACAGTTGAAAAAGATAAGTTGAAATGAATCTAGGTATATCCTGGCAGTGATTAACTGCTTGTCAAAAAAAAGTTTGTATATTCACAATATAACCTTCAGTACTCACTTCATCAATACATGATCTGGAATAATTTGATGTCCAACTCACCCACAGAGGAGACGACTGGAACGATGGGCAGAACACTTCGAGCAACAGTTTAACTGACCTTCAGCCACCATTTCGTTGCCCGCTGTCCAGTCGGATCCTGAACATTAGGAATATTGAGATAGGTCCCCCAACACCAGGAGAAGTCGAGAAAGCGGTAGGTAACCTGAAACGGGAAAGGGTGACAGGACCAGACGGACTAACTCCGGAGATATACAAGGATATTGGTAAGGTGCTGTCAGTCAGGTTAACGGAAGTGTTAACCAATATATAGGAATCAAATACTATCCCCTCTGACTGGTCTAAATCACTGATTATTCTAGTCTTCCTGAAAGATGAGAAGTCCTCTTGTGATAATCACAGAAGAATCAACCTGATGAACAAAGTGTCCAAGATCCTAGGTTCTAAAATTCTCCAACGCCTGAATGGAGCTCGGGAACAGCAAGCCCGAGAAAACCAGGAGGATTTAGACACGGCCGCGGGTGCATCTACAAAACATTCACACTGCACCAGGTTTTGGGACATAGACACGCTTACAGACGTCCGACAATAGCTGTATTTCTCGACCTGAAGGCGACACTCGACTCCGTTAATCGAGAAGTTTTATAGCAGTGTCTCTCACTGAAAGGCGTACCCAGTGAGAGTACATCACCTTATTGAAGGCTCTCTACTAGAACACTTGTGGGCATGTTAGGGCCTATGGTGAGATGTCTAGGGAGCTATGCTCATCGAGCTCATCGAGTGGTGGCCATCAATGATGCCCACTCTCTCCATTCTTATTCAATTTCATCACAGATATTCTCATGGAGGTCTCCCACTCGTCACCAGGTTACACAGACGTTGACCTAATCACAGGAGAATTTTCATTAGACCTAGAATATGCAGATGACATAGTCCTGTTAGGTGAAGACGCTGACAACATGCAGAGTCTTCTGGACAAGAGGAACCAGTGGTTGGAGCATGACTCTAGGTGATATGGCTCAGAACCGATGTCAGTGACGCAGATGCATACACACATTATCCTCGTCTTAACACTACCGATTCTCACCATTTTGTCATTCTTCCTTTTTTCTTCTCATATTTTATATTTCTTTTGACTGAATTTTCTTATCTTCATCTTCCACTTCACTATCTTTTTACTTGATGTGCTGATATGAGGTGTGGCAACTCGGACCGTTAAGCAGTAAGCCTTGTCCTATGTTGATGATGATGATTCTACTGTATTGAGAGAACGCTGTAGGTGAGCTTTTTGGTAGTAATTGTTCTTAACACAATGCCATAACTGTTATATATTCCAACCAAAAAATAATGTAAAGTCGTATAAAGAAATACATCTATCCAGCTAATCCTGCATCATCACACGCTTCAAAGAAGAAAGCAAACGCAAAAAAGTGATATTAAAGTAGGCAGAAGTGCGGGAGAGGGGGGAGAAACAATAAACTTAGCCTAACGGAAATAATTCAAACTCTAATGACAAAAAATTGCACATATATTCCCTATCGTGACCGATTTCGAGCCATGGTACTCGGAGAAGCCTGCAACCATCGATTCTTAAAATCTCAAATACTCCCGCAAGCCAGTCTACCCCATTCAAGCGGCTGAGACCAATAGTCATAAATTCTACCGACTGATGCCACGTCCTGGTGAAAACACTGTGAAACATCTTTCCTCTCAATCCTACTTCAGGTAACAATCCTATCGAGAAAGACCCTATGTCGATATGCGCATGAAATATTTGGATGACATCAGTAGATCGATGTCCCAAACCTCTTTGACTGACTTCCCAAAGTGAGTCAGGCTGTGCAGGCACCTCTCTTTAAAATCAAATAGCCACATGATATCTTGTACCTTGGACGATTATAGCTCAAAACGGCATATTTAAAAAATCAAGCAATAAAATAAGCTTTCTGTTTGCTCCGTGATATCTCCCTCCCCGAAAATTTCACACCGCCACGATTTTTATCGACGAAAACCACAGGAATCAATTCGAGTTACCGAAAACCACCTCTCACCAATACCACATAAAAACCTTAAGAGCTGAAACAGTTTTCTTGGCCTTGAGGATATTTGAAGAACCGATATCTACGTCTCATTAAGATTCGGGCTGGATGCTGGGCAACTATAGCATGTCTGTAGGCCAGTTGCACTGTTTTTCAAAGTGTTTGACCCATCCTCCAGGTAGATCGCCTGGGCCCCATCGTTTTTGGTGATCCTCTCACTAACCATCGTCTCCTTCCCAGCATCTTCAATAAGCCTAACTTAATTCCTTGATGTCACCTAATACCTGTATCTTCTCCATTTATTTTGCTTTCACTCACGAATGCTCACTGTAATTTCGAAGACTCTTGACCAACATACACTTAACTTGCTTTCGCTCGCCACGGTGATCAGACCCAGTTGGGTTGAGCCCTGTGGCACTGGTTTCTGCTACCATTTGTATGTAGGATGCCAACTGTTATAACTGTTTTAACAGCAGACAATGTTACTTCAGGCTTCTTCAGGAAGGGAATCGCCGTCATATTCAGATTAATGCTTAGCTATCTCTTCCCTAAGTACATACTTAACTTACTCATCTTGTCGTCGAGAACACAAGCTTGGCTGTCGTCCGTATCGTGTGCTTATTAAGGTGTAGAAATTCACTTACCCGTACTAACGCGTGATCAGGGTCGAAGCAGGATAGTCTAGCAAGAGTGAAAATCCTCCACCTATTGTCTGCAACGATGACTGGTAGCAATATGAACTATCTCTGTTCATTGTTGCTTTTTGATGTCGGTCGATGCCAGTTGTGGCTCCTTATGATTGAAGTTATTGCTGACTAGAAACAATATCAGGAAAAATTGCGGCAAACAATCAGCGTTGTCTGTTCATTGGCAAGAGATGCCGTAGATGCCTTTTTGATTGACTGAGCATCCCGTCTTGAGCGCTGAGGTTGTCTGGTGCTGTGACTATATGTGAACGTTCTGCTTTCTGTAGCGAACATGACAGCTTTTCATAGAATGCATCCTCTCTATCATCCGAATCCCAACCTATACATGCTAGCTTAACGTGATAATCGGGTTTCTATATCACAATGACTGGAACACTTGTTCTCTTGAGGTCCTCCTATACCAGAAAAAATTCTTGAATAATGGTTAGAAAAAAAGCAATTTTCGTTGTAGTGTAAATCGCTACGCTTTGATGGAGGTTTAGGGGGAGTCGTACTGTTTGTTGGACAGGGTGTAATAGCAGTAGGGTGTTTCCTTTGGATAGCTAGCAGTGCCACGTTGATACTGCCTTCTCAATGGGAAGGGGGAGGTAGGAAAAGGTCGGCTCCCAAAACTCCACACTCTTCCCTGGCCCTTGGTCTTTTGGTGCTAGCGGTAATTTTTCTCTATCCGATGTTAAAGTAAAAAAATTCTCAAAACAACAATCCGCCAAAGGCTCTGTGTGTGTGTGTGTGTGTGTGTCAGATCTCAAGCAGATGTCCCATGGGCTCTGCTGTCACACAAATCTTTTTCTCTTTCAGGTAAGAAGAAATAGCCTCCCACGATGTGAGCGGTCGACGAGCGTCAGGTGCCCGCACGCTTCCAGTAGTGAACAAGACCCAATCAAACATAACCTATCCCCCTCAGTTCTGTCTCCTCCTTTGCCTTTACTTCATCATACTAATATGAAATCTCTTACTTCTTGTCCAGCCTCTCGTTATGAAGCCACTGCCAACGATCAAAACCACTGGAACCTCATTCCTAACCTTCTAATACCCCACCATCGATTTCATGTGTGAGCTTTCAGCGTCCGAACTCCATGTCGAATCAGACAGCAGGCATCACTCACCAGAACTTTGAAATCTCTACCGATGGATGTATACTGTCTCTGAGACGCGTATACAGGACCAGAACGTGGTTATTAAGTTGACCTCACCTGGCCGTAGTAGTGAGTCTTCAAAATTCACCCTAGGAGTGTTTGAAGACACAATGTGAAAGCCGTATCGAACCTGAAACGATGCAAAGCAGCAGAACGTACTAGTTTTGCACAGGACGTCTTAAAGCATATAGGTAGGTCATTACTGATAAAAGTGACGGAGGTAATATGTAGTAGGTGGGAATCAGGGGTTGCGCCGTCAGGCTGGGTACCTATTGAGCTATAAGTAGTATACTGCGTTGCTGTTCGTTCTGTCTTGTTATACGGTTGTGGTCCATGACCTTCGAAAGTAGATTATATGAAGAGACTTCTGGTTCTTGAACACAGGGTTCTTGGGAACACTGGTGACTTGTTATGGAGAGTAAAGTTGTAAAATATCTTGAAGACCATCAATTGGAATTTTAGCCTTACTCAGAATTTACATTGACTTGAATCGTTATTGTGACCGTGGTAACCTATTATGATCCACCTGACAAGAATGTAATTTTACTTCAATTCAATTGCTTACTTTACCTCGTTTTCCCCCTTTTTTTGTTTAGTTATTCCAATGTCAGAGGAAGAGAAAGCTCAACTACTATCATCTGATGCCTTTCTACGCTTCTTTGAGCGTTCTTCACGTATCATTGAACGAGCAATATCACGTTCAGATGAAGGAATCTTTTCAGATTATTCAGGTGAAGATCATGAAACTGAAGAGTAAGTCTCCTGCTTCCGTTAAATACTAGCAGTACATGTTATTTGTGTGGCTATCAGCATTCGTTTCAATTCTGATTTTTAATCTCCGCTATACTTGCCTTTTATTCTAGTTATATCATTTTCAGATAATACTATCCTTGATAAAAAAATACTGCTAAGATGCAATACATAGTATTTTTTCTAACCCATCAGTGTGCAGACTACTACTTTTTCTTTTAGGAAGTGTTTTCATAAAGGTACTATGCATATGGAACGTGTATGTTGTCATTTTAATTTCTCTAACTGTCATTTCATCGCATATATTACGAAGTCACGTTGCTAAATAAAACTTCTTGTATGAGTGATAGACAAATACTCAAGTTAATTAGTCAGTGGTGTAAACATTCGTTTCTTAAAGTGATTGATGGACGTTTGTATTGATATATCTTAATTAAAGCTTATTGACGCTTTTTACTTTCCAATTCACTGGTTCCTTAGCAATAGCTGCTACTTTGATGTGATAATCCGGCTTGCATGTAACAATGATCAAACGAGCTATTCTGGCAGGAAGCTACTTCTCTCGAGGCTCCATCATATCAGAAAAACCTGTAAGATATTGGTAAGACAAAAGCTGTTGCAGTTATGGTGTAAATTGGTACGCTATGATAGGTGACGGAGGGTGAAATCGTGCAGCTGACTGGATCAGGGTGTGATAGCAGTAAGGTGTTTCCCTTAAATAACCAGCGGTATAACACTGATGCTGCCTTCCTCGTAGGTCAGTCCTAAAAATAGCACACTCCTTTCTACGTATTGTATACCGATGCCGAAGATATGGGTTCGTAGTCAGATTTGCAAAAAAGCAAACCAAAATATCAAACTTCTAAGAATGCTGTGTATGATCGGCCTCATGTAGATGTCCCATGAGCTCTTCGGTCAGCCGCTAATGCGTTCCTTTCAAGTATCACGAAGAAATAGCCTTCCACAGAGTGCGTGGCCGTACGCTGTCAACCACGCTCCCAACTCTGTCAGCACTCAAGTTCCCTCATATCATCAACCTTCATAACATTTGCTTTCTAATCATTCTCCACATATCTCGGTCAGTATTCGTGCGTCTTCCTAAATCCTTCTAGCTCTGCAGCTCTTGATAACGATTCGATTTTACAGAACGCCATCATTGGTCTCCCGAAAGTGTGCTCTAAGTACATATTGGAACTTCCAATGTCCGAACCCTCCGTCAAATCGGTCAACAAGTTTCGCTGGCGAAGACTGTCATCTGCAACCACGAATGTATGTTGTGTCAGTGAATTATGCGCACAGCACGCAAGTGCAGTTATGCACTTAAACTCACTTAGCCAATGTAGTGAATTTGCAAAATTTCTCCTTCGAGTTACTGGAGATTCATTGTTTAGTTGTCGCGGTCTTGGAGGTTTGTTTAGGTACAGTATTGGGTGCTGAGGCAGAAAGTGAACTGCTCGACTGGATTCCTGTTCACATTCGCCAGAAACGTGTAAAGACCTATGTTTGAAAACCAAGGGCACATTTGATGACCATATTGTCAGAATAACGCTCCTTTCAGCTCATCCTTTTTTACAAGTAACTCTGGTGCATAAAGATACGTAGTATACACAAGTTTTCACTTGACTGACGACCAGTTTTATTCTTCTCACTTTCATTCTCATTACCTTCGTTATAATTCCTCAGTCTGTGCTGGTGTGTCTGAATTCGCCTAGTTATCTATGGCCCCTTCTATTGTTACACCCAAAGAACAGTTATTTACATTCTTCCTTTAAAATTTGAGTTCCGTTTACAAACTTGTAACCTATGCATGAAATCAGTGAAACTGTACATTTTCGCCATGCTCTAGTAACCTTGAGGTGACCATCATATGGAAGGCCAGTTTTTGATGGCTCTGTGAAGATTTGAATTACTGAAAGCATTTCACTGATCATATATAAGCTTATGCAGAATTTCGACGATAATAAGTTTGGTCGAATCGAAAGGAGTTATTTTTCATCTGATCTTCTTGCACTTTCCCTGGTTATATGAAGTTTTTCATGTACCTGTGTATCTCAATAAGGACAAAATTTTGACAAGAATTTCACGAGTTATGCGTTAGTATGAGGTTGAACACCGTTAAATCCAATCACATATTTCATTCTAATTCCCTGAAACTATTCGTAAAATCCCAGTGAGGAAGAAAAATAAATTGCTAACATTTCACCTTGAACCTATGGTCTAATAATTGAGAACATTCACATTTATCTCCATATTATTATCATTTTGATATGCATTTACGAACAACTTGTTTTGATTTATCTCAATTTACTACTTAAGCATGCGATAACTCGTACAGTTTATATTCATTGTTTGAAGAAGCGGCTTTCACGAAGTCCTGAAAAGTTAGAAATTGATGTATCTCATTAGGATGTTTCACTCATAAACCATTTACCCGATACTTAAAGTTATTCTGTTTTACCAGGTCAAATTTTTATCACGAAGTCTACAAATGTGTTACTAAGTTCAACGCTGACATTGAAAAAAGGACATACTTGGTACTTTTTTTGCCAGGATATTGCTTAGTTTTCTTTCATTTTTTTTCTTTGAAATCTATGTGGCAGTACTTCGAACAGCTAGTACCCAGTTTTGATTCTTGAACTGTAATTTTTAAATTTTCCTACAAGAATCTATAAGAGGCGATATTGAGCTGTCTAAAGCCTATGTCCATATCACAGTTAACTTGGTCTAATGTTATATAGTCATATGCGTTAATATCTTTATCGTACAGGAATTAAAAACCATTCGCAAGTGTAGATAACTTTCTAAGCGTTGTTAGGTAACTGTATCTATTTATAATTCCGCTTTATTTTCAGATTACAAATTATCAAGAAACAACCGTCTTCCTATTAGTGAGTTTAGGATCTTTTTGATAGTTGCTCGAGGATGACGAAACTCTATGGTTCCAGTATGAAATCATATAATTTCCAGATGTCATTATGAAGTTCAGCTATGCAACAGATATAATATATGAATAAATAAAGACATAAAGCCGCCAAAAGTCGGAGTAAAATTTTGAAAACATAAATTTACTCGTTTTCCTGTTACTTCAGTTGTTAAAAATTATTGATAACATCCTGTCAAATCTCTCTATTCGTTTGTAGGTTAAATCTGACTGTAGCCAACCATATAGTCTTTGTATCTTCGTCTAGGCATCCATGTAGTTATATGCGAGATAAATGATAGTCTTTTAAATTTAAATTGACAGTTAGTAGACTGTTATTGTCAAGACTTCTAGATTTATTTCACTGATAACTCTTCATCAGTGTTGGTTGGACTTCACTCCTTTGAAGGACATTTTTACCATATTGAGATAAGAAAATTTTTATTCCATTTTAAGACCATTATGTATTTTTCTCCTTATTATTGTTCTTACAAGGTTGAGCTACTTTGAAATTAAATCATTGAGTCTTTTATTTGATAGATCAGATGAATTACTCACTGTTTCATTGGAGTTTTTCGATGAACGATGGTCTAAACACCGCACAATAACTGGTTTAGATTGGTCAACTATATTTCCAGAATTGTTACTCACAGCTTATCATATGAATGAAGAAGCGGTTCATGAACCTGAAGGTGTTTGTTTAATGTGGAACATGAAATATCCAAAGAAATTAAGTCCAGAATTTATATTTCACTGTCAGTCCCCAGTCACCTCAGCTAGTTTATCACGATTTCATCCAAATATTGTTGTTGGCGGTACTTATTCTGGGCAGATTGTTATTTGGGATAGTCGGTAAGCTGATTTTTCTTCTATGAAATATGCTTTTTATTCATTGTTACTGTACTCAATAGTTTATGTCTCATAGACTTGTAACTGCTATCGCATTCACTAATCAACACTAAGCGAGGCTGTGGCCCATTGGTTTAGGTAGATGACTTTCAGCCAATGTGTCATGCGTTCGACCCCTGCTCTACCTACCGGGGGTCGTGCAGCCAAATAGTATCACTACGTCCTACACACACTAGGTCTAACTCATTTCCTACTCCACGAATATGCACAAGGTTACTAAGTGCATTTCGAACCAACACTAAGAGAAATAGTATCGAAACACTTATTCATGTGGCACTATTTTTCAAAAAATCCTAATGCTTTGATTGAAAGAAATTTGGTGGTGTGACAAAATAGGTTTTGATGGTTTTGTGTGTCAAAGAAGTATCTACTCGCTGACATGTTACATGTGAATTCAACTACGTTAAGGATACCGAACTTCAAAAATGTTTAATTTTACTGAGCATCTGTCACTGCTACTTTAAACGAAAATGTCACTCATCGTTGGCATAAAATGATATCATGTTCAACTTCAGATTGCTTCATGACACTAACTGACTGCAAAAATTGACGTAAAACCTCGCTCATAGGTGCATCGGTTCAAGTTGCCGTACTTCTCAGTAGTACACAAAAAACATGGACAGGAAAAGAGTGATATCAGAGTAGGTAAATGAGTGTGAGATAATCAGCAATCTGAAGATAACAGTTAGTGTGAATATTCAAGCTTCATTACACTTCTGAGTCGCTGTGGATTACTTTGGTCTCAAAAGTCACTTTAGTAGGTGTACGTCTGTGGTGTGATTAAATGACTTTTATGTCTGCCTACGCAGCTGCTCATGCAGCGTCCTATGGGACATCCAAGCAACTCTGTGACCCCCCCCCCCAGTAGTAAGTTGTAATGATATCACTTTAAATTTCTATATTCTACAGCAGGATGGTACACATTTTATGAACCAGTAGATAAGAGTTGACTTATTCTTAGGGTGTCCGATAAGACTATCTTAGGTGTCGAACTGCTGAAGCCAATGTAACCACCTTATCATCTTTTCCATTCATACAACTCCCTGTTATTATTTTTTTTGAACGAAAATTTACATAGTAATGATACGGAATTATGTACCACTTTTTAGTTGGAATAAGATTGCTTAGCCTAACTTATACGTGAAAACTGAAGTTTTCTTACATGGGTAGTGTTTATAAATGTTGGCGTTATAATTGAATTGTGTCTGTTGTCTGTGATAGTGATGGGGTAATCGAGTCATTCAGTTGAGAATGGAGGGACATGTATCTAAATGGCTTTGAAAATAAATTGAGTGGGAAACTTTGATAAGCACAGGTTTGTGGCGAGCCCCTTCATCCATAACTAAAAATATGGATTACAAAATTAGTGTTCAAATAGCTTTCAAAGTTTTATATGGCAACAGTTAGAGACGCATACTTAGATATGCGGAAGCGATAGTCATACACAAATTGAAACCACCTCTATGTGTAGAAAAACCATTTGTTCCTACACTACACCTACCTTGGTAAACTTTGTTTTCTGACTAAGAAGATTAGGATCAACTATGTCACTCTTCTTTTTTCTCCTCATCTTTCTTAATTGTAGTCTCCTATAAACCTAAATGTTCAATTTTTCCTCCCACGCTTCGGTTTGATATAAATTGACTTGACAAGTAAATGTGGTCAGATTATTCAAAATGTATTGCTCTAATACATCACATTGTTCAGATAAACTTCGTCTTCTAATTACACCATCCAAATTTATATAATTGACCAATTGTTTCAAAGTAATGTCGTTATTATAAGACTTACATCCAAGTAGTTTATTTATGGGTTGTGTTTACCTGTGTCTGTTTTTCTTTTTTCCTTTTCAGAGTGAATAAACGCACACCAGTTCAACGTAGTCCGTTAACATCATGGGCTCATACACACCCAGTGTTTGCAATCACTTTAATTGGTACACAGAATGCTCATAATATAATTAGCTTGGGATCAGATGGTTCCTTATGTGCATGGAGTTTGGAAATGCTAGCACAACCAAGAGAGAAGAGTAAAGTTTGTGAAATGTCTTCTGGTGGTTTATTCGATTTATATCCTACATGTATGTCTTTCTTTGCTAATGATGTCAATAATTATGCTGTCGGTGCTGAAATGGTAATGCCTACTGTGGACAACGACACAGCAGGTATAATTCATTTGTTTTATAGTGATTTGTGATTCTTCATGTTTTCTCAATGAAGTGTACTACAACTCGTTGACCACATGTACTCATGCACTAGGCTGAGTATTACGTCTATTTTGTGAGGACTAGTGATAATCCCTCGGCTGCTTAGACTAACGTGGTTTAGCTTAGGTTCAAAGACAGTTTCCTAAGCTGTTGATGAATAACATTTACACCTTGTGATAAATCATCGTAAAGCAATAAAGAAGTCCATTCTATGTGCTCTAAATTATCCACGGTATATTTCTTTTGAAAGTTTGGAAGCAATTTAAAAAAGGGTTCGGGCTTGGACTCGAACTCAGAACGGTTGCTTCAAACGTCAGAGCGTTATTCACTAGGCCACCGAGTAACGATAGCCACTTTTGGTGCTCCGTGTATAGTTTTCATGTTGCTACTTGTATTATCCCATCCTTGGGAGAGATAAATCAACAACGGGGCAATACAAGCAACAACATAAAAAACTATACCTCCCACATAAAGAATGGCCACTGTGACTCGGTAGCCTAGTGCATAGAGTTCTGGCATTTGAAGCGATCGGTCTCGGGTTCGAGTCCTATTGGAGTAACATTGACCACTGAGATGCAAGGACATCCAGCTGATGAGTACCAAGTAGGATGAAACACACGTACTGGTATCCACTACTTGTCACTATCTATGAATTAATATAAACAGTCTCTTGTTACTCTTTCCATTAATCACACAGTAAGTAGTGTTTTATTCTACATCAAGAATATGTGAACTTATGGAACTGCTACATAGACGTGGACTTCTCACCAACAAGTTCCTGTCTACATGTTCAGACATTCTTTTCGCAAAGATTTTCTCAACTCTTCTAACGTACATGTTACTTTCCACACACTGATAAATAAAAAGGAATGCATTCGAAGGTAACTAGAAGAGGTTTCGATGTTCAAGTTAGATTCTCTGAACTTGTTCTTAGTTTCCTCAACAATTACCAATTTTTCAGTGGAAAAAAGTCAATGAAACATAGACATTTAATTGAAAGTTGTTTATTGTGAACTAAGATCTATCTCTTTTGGTACACAGATTCTCCAATTAATTGATAGCCTGCTTTTTGGGATCTATTGATTTTAAACTTAATTTTCTTCACGGGTTGACATCAAATATTGGAATTAACCTATTTGAACTTGGGAAAACAGAGAAGGTGATTAAAAAGTGAAGAAAAATATTTCTTTTTGATGAACTCATTGTCTAATATGTAATCTCATGAACATATAGTAGGAAAGATAGAACATTGGAAAAATACTTTCCTGTCAAAATATCATTGCAAAACAAAGGGAAGTTACGCCTTCGATATTAGTGACATAACTTTCTTTTAAAAGTAACATAATTATATCATAAATGATCAATTCTTTACGATGACAGTGATATATTAAAATGGTTGTACGTACTTCTTTTGAACGGATAATATTAGTTTGAACTTTAAGTTTGCCAGTTCTTCAGCTATATCCAGGGCTTTCAGATTTTAAATGGTTTTCCAACTGACTTAACTGAAATGTATTCAGATCCCTTGATATATTTGGATAAGGCAAGAAAGAAGAGATTTGAAGAATAGAATGATATCACATGATATTTCACAATTAGGAAATGATTCATCTTAAATTGTACAAGGAAATCATTGCCTATCCATATTGTGTGTAAGAGAGCCTTGCTGAGCTTTATCAAGAGATTGATAGAATAGCGAAGAGTTAGCCTCTAGGACCTGTCCTGGCAAATATTTACACGGGCTATCTTGAGAAGAAGAGCCTGATATCAATCATCACCTAAGGTACGTTGATGACTTCTTTGTTGTTTCCAATGATATGAATTATGGAAGTCAGTTGCTTGACAAGTTCAACCAGGCTAATCCTAACATTAAATTTACGATGGGATATTAACATGAAAAGGAGTTCGGTTTTTTGGACTTCAACGTGAGAAGAAGTGATGGTAAGGTTGAAAAGACTATCCATGGAGAAAACACAGACCAGACAATACCCTAACTGTAAACGTTTCTGTCCTGCCAGCTATAAACGTCAGCTAGTTAGAACACTTTGCAACAGAGCTAGAAAATTATGTTCTGCGGACAAGTTAAAGGAACTAAACTTTATTAACAAGTATCTCTAAGAGAATAATTATCCTAAGAGATGTGTTATAAAGTGTGGCAAAGAACAGATCGAGAGAAATAAGCACCCAACTGTCGAAAAGGTTTTTATACCCCTTACATTCAACGAAGATTCAAGCGAATAGACTCAAGAATTCAGGGAACACTGAGAAGGAGCTTTCCTGCAGGTAAACTTGTATCAGTATATATTATCACATACTCGCTGAACTAGTCAAAATTGGATAATTACACTATTCATGTCACCTCCAACTGTATTTATGAATTCACATGCACTCGCGGTAGCAAGTACACTGGGAGGACTGACAACAGACGATCTATTCGGTTCGCCCAGCATATCCTCAAGAATCTGTGCTTGAAAGGAAGTAAAATTCTAACCAATGCAATCGCCAGACACGTAGACATAGGACGTCAGGTTGAAACCTCGAGTACTTTTAAAATAATAAACGTACAGAAAATGTATGGATTACTGCGTTTCGCGGAATTAAACGCTTTCAACCTGACTTTTGCATAAATAAGGAGAGTGTGGTTATTCTCTCACTCCCGTGGTGACTCTTTAACTGTTTATTATTGTTTTTGTTTTCTGTACAATTAATTCTCTTACATGTTATATAGATAATCAGTGATTTCGTCGTACAACTGAAGATTAATGATTTCTTTATTGTGAAATATCTGATATCCTAATAACCATTGCACTTTTAGACTGTATACAGCTGGGGAGAATTCTTTAAATAAATTGGTATCATTCGATTCTTCAAACTTCGCCCTTCTTGCTTTGTTTAAACCCGCTTCCAAATAAATTGGTTTTTTAGACAGCTTCCATTAGTTGTTTGTTTTAAACACTCTATAATGAAATTTTTATGATCTTAGTTGTCTGTTGTGTGAAGAATTACAAGCTTATTAAGATGAATTCACTTCCGTCTTCAGTGTCCAGTGTTCATGCTTTACAACATCCCACTTCTATTTCTTTGTCTGTTTGTATCCTTGTGCTTCAGTTTATTACACTTAAAACTAACCACAATAAAAGCATGTAGAATATATTACATGGAATCGCGTAGATATATTGTGAGAAACTATAATAATTGTGACCAGAGGAAAGTAAGTTGTCATGTGAAGATGCCTTGCGAAATATGAACGTCAATAATAAATTCCTCTTTCTGTCTGCGCTGAAGACAAAAACTGGTTCATTTTGTACTGAAAAAACTTGTGGTCTATACGTGGCATCTTTATTTTCATGTCTCCATGTAATAACTTGGCGCGCTGCTTTATTCTAAGAATGATCACTTTCATATTAGTCGATGCATAGATTGATTATTCGTATCCGAAGGTTAATTTCACCAAAACCTGAGAGCAGAATATAGACAGCAAGGGTTATTAAATCCTAACTCCAGTAATTCAATGGTAATATGATGCTGTCAGACCTGATTTCCTTGGGTATGATCCTTCATTGTGAGTTCAATAGTTGTTTCTGTAAGTTTGTAACCATATACAAGTTGCTTCAACTAATTAATGAGCAATATCTATTGTTTGCCGACTGATAATGCTACCTTAATTCCAGAACATCGGTATATGTAGCGGCATTCAATCATATAGATGACTTCGTACTTCTTAAAAGTTTCTAAGTAAGAGGGAAATAACTGTTCCTTACTCTTGAGTTTTTGAGCGGGTTTCTAGTTGGCATCACTGTGACAAAAAGTGGCTTGAAAATGAATTAACACCCTATAGATGTCTCGGCTAAATAAAGTCAGCTGAAGGAACTGTAACAAAGACTACCCTTTACCGATGAGTATCAGATTCAGACTTAGTGTGGCAACTCGGACCGTTACGCAGTAATGCCTGGTCCTATGTTGATAATGATGATGATGATGATCAGACTTAGTTTTATAACTCTCTTCATAACATACATCTGTTGTATGCTTTCATTTCACTGTTTTAGTCGGACAGGAGTTGCTGAGGAAACTTCACGTCATGTTCCATACAAAGGTCATGGTGCACCTTTAACAGCGATCTCTACTCATCCTAGTCCAGGTGCTTTTAGTTTCTCTTCACTTTTTCTCACCGCATCACTGGATTGGACTGTACGTTTGTGGTCTACTCGTGAACACAAACCTATACATACATTTGATGATTATTCAGATTATGTTTATGATGTTTGTTGGAGTCCTGTACATCCAGCTGTATTCGCTGCTGTAGATGGGACTGGGCACTTGGATGTATGGAATGTGAATCAAGACCCTGAGGTGGGTGTTGTTGTTATTCAACAACTGTCTTTTCATTACATTTGTTCAGTTTGTTTCTTCATCAAGCCTTCTGGTTTGTAATATAACTGCATTTTGTGAGGGGATTTTGTATTCAAACTACATAACAGCCTTTACTAATAGCAGCAGGGAATGGCTGAATCGCAGAGCTATTGTCTCACTAAGAAAGTAGTATTTAGATTGTTGAGTAAGTAGTTCATATCATGCAAATTTGTTTCTTACTATTTTGTATGTTGATAATAGATCTTTTGAATTTTAGGGCATTGCTTTGTACTTTTCCGAGTTCTTCGAGAAGTTAATATGGACATTTCTAATTGATTCAGTCCTATTTATATCAGAACGTTTTTACATTTTTTACTTGCTTGAATTTATTTTCATGAATGACTATTTTCTTTTATGCTTCAATTCAGATTCCTGTGGCTCGTCGTACACTAGGAATATCAAGTAATGTCGATACATCATCATCATCATCATCTGGAGTAGTTGGAGTTGCTTTAAATAAGTGCCGTTGGAATACGTCAGGTACACATTTGGCGGCTGGAGATGATACTGGTCGTGTAACTATTTGTAGTGTGCATGAAAGTCTTTCACAGCCAGGTACTGAAGATTGGTCTGGTTTCGCACATGTCTTGGCTGACCTTAAACACTATGAAATGGAACCAGAAATAGAGTCAGAATCATAATATTTTTACTTTATTTTCGCTACATTAAATCACCTATAAGGTAAAAAATTCTGTCTTTGTTAATTGTAGTTTATTTGCAATAGTGTTAACAAAAATCACTTTTCTCATTTGGTTGAGGTGTTTTTGAAAGACACACCCAAAGGCTGTGGTTTCTCCCTCTTTTTTCTACTTTTCTATTCATAATTACCTGCCTATGTTGTCTTTAAATTCAGTTCTGTACTTTGCTTTAATTTCTGTGACTTGATTACTTCCTTATCATACATTTATATATCAGCAATAAGTAAACAGTTCTGGGGATTAATTGTGGTCTGACTTCTTACGCAATACAGCTATTGAAATGTAATGTGAGGAACAGATTAAAGCCATCTGTTAACCAACCCAAAGTTTCATTTTACGAACCTTCAAATTACACTTACTGAAAGCCTGTGGAAATTGATGTAAATGGAATAAGTCCAGAACTCACACTTCTGGTAGTTCATCTCCAATATCCTGAATGCACTGTCTATCTGGCATGTTTAAACAAGACTCTAGCTCACAGCTTGGTGACTATAGGTTAGCTGCAGTATTGGTAGTTCATTTCCGTCATCCTTGTGATCTCTGATTTGCGTCAGAGTTATAAAGGTTGCCGTTCAATGAGTAACTGCGGTAACTAGATTTTTTTTCCTGTATATGGAGCAACATGCAAGAAGGTAGGCAAGTCTATACATTTTCAGAGACCGAATTTCTTTATGAGGTAATACCTATGCAAAATAGTATAGTTAATGTCCAATATATCACAAAACCAATAGCCTTGGGTTTGACGATATTGACCAGTGATTCTAACCTTCGTAGTTGTAACAGGCTTATGAGGCCGATTGTTTATGTTCAGGTACCCCTGCCATTCGGCAGGTCGTGTTACTTTGCGTTGAACGTTCACTATCTCCTAGCCAGCTAGTTTATGTATCTCGGTTTGTTGGTACGATTTTACAATTACGCCATTCATGCCTGGTTATCCAATTGTATTCCTTCTTTATTTTGTACTCGTATTCGACATCTCAGTTGGTACAAATATGAATTTGACTCAGATCAGGTGGAAATTTTCATGTCCTCATAAGATGAAGACATTAATAGAGCAGTCGGGTCATATCCGAGAGATATTGCAGAGCAGATTTTACTGGGAGTCCAAATCCTTGTTTTACCGGTTTCTTTTCATTCATTCTAAGAACCTCCGGAACAGTTAATTTCTTGTGGTGAAGGACTAGTTCAGTTACTGTATTATTTGTGTGTACTTACCTCAGATTACGAACCCTTGGCTTATGCCTTATGTGATAGTTCTGTTCATGATAATAACGTTGTAGCTAACTAGGTTACGGCCATCTATAACAATTTCTTTCCAGTGTAAACTTGCACTTTTGTTGTGGCAGACAAAATTCCGGTTGCTACGCATATGCTGAACGTCCTCTAGTATTAAAATCCCGCTTTTTACATCAATTTAATTACATCCTGTTCTAAACATCTGGCTTTCAGGCGTACTGACGAGATAGGAAAATTGTGCCAAAATGTCTATTAAGTGTGCTTATTCGTCAGTTACTGTCCAATTGCATGATAATACTGTTTGTCGATGAAGGCTGATTCTGTTGATCATGAGGTTGTAGACGTATATGCAGCCTTAACTCCTCTACAAGATCATGAGGTGATGCTTACAGGGAGTTCGAAATCATATTAAATTCCATAATCCTTTTCCTTGCGTTTTTGAAACCATACCCCTAGCGGGGTTTTCCTTCACACGATGCTTCTTAGTTCCGGTTCGAAACCGTCTTTATTCAGCCTCCTCTACTGTGGATTACTTAATAGGTATTAAGAGTCACATACACTAGATATCAATACAATAGGAAAAAGAGATCTGTTTGTATCAAGCAAAATCCTATTTCTTGGTCTACAGCTGCCGTATTTATTTCTGAAACAGCACAAACAGTCAGTTTCACAAGTTACCCAAACATAAGTCAACCAGTGCCTGCCAATTTCAATATACTGCTAAAAGTGCTCATGATAACCTTATGGTGGTACTGGGTTTCCGACTATTCACTCTGATTTTAGTTTATTCTTGTAAATACACGCTGATTTGCAGACACGATTACTTCCTTCTTCATACCATTTTAAATTTCGAAGCTGGTATGCAGACGTGTGTTGAAATAAGTTAATCACAGTCTAAATAAAGAGAAATAAAGCACAGTGTATGCAGATTATCATGTGCGATAAGGAAAATAATTCTACACAAAGTAATGTTCATGTAAAAGTTTCAATCTTGGCGAAAGGATAAACAGCGAACCATTTAGGTATGGGCTTTTAAAGTCATAATGTTTTAAAATGAAAGAATATATGGGTGACTGTTTAGGGTCAGTAAGAAAAGTTTCTGTCTGACAGTTTTACAAGTATCTCAAGTCATCATCATCATTATCAACATAGGACCAGGCATTACTGCGTAACGGTCCGAGTTGCCACACCTCATATCAGCACATCAAGTAAAAAGGTAGTGAGGTGAAGGATGAAGATAAGTGAATGCAGTCAAAAGAAATATAAAGTACAATATAAAGTACAATGGGTAGACATGATTCTTGTTCTAAGTAACGATATGGTTACCGTTTCACGTTTATGACTAACTACTGAAGAAATCAGCTGCCAAATAATGCACCGAATTATATGAAAACTACGTCGTAATCATTGCCGAAGAGATGTGGAAGCCAGGCTATTCGACATAGCATACATATCCAGGTATTTTTTGAAGTGCTAATTCTCATTATTGAAATAGAAAGAAGATAAAAGAGTAGACATTACAAGACTGACGAATACGAAACTGAACAATATGCCTGATGTAGTAAACTACAGATAACCTATATATCATATATACAAACCTATATTTTCAACTTAGTCTAATGTGCACTGCAGAAACTGAGTGATTGACCGATGCTAGGTAGGGTGATCATGTAGCACCATCATATCCCTTCAACACGAAATGAGTATTTTTCATTAGCAATGTCTCCTCAGTAATTTCTACGTACAGCTTCTGCATTGCATTCGTCACCTGTTTTCTAACCCCTCATGCCTGAAGGAGGAAACTTCCATTCTAGAATGGGCTCTGAGAAGTGCTACGAAGAAAATAATTTAGCTGTGGTTCAAACTTTACCTAGAAAACTTAGTTGCTCTTAGTCTGCGCCCAGTATAGTACAAGAGGAACAGTTTCGATATGATCATGGTGTATCATATTGCCCACAAACCGCCTTATCCTAACCGGTTGCTCCCAGGCTCTGATGAGAAATATCATATCAGAAGTCCTCTTCCTAGATCATGACATAGGAGAGGACGTTCGGTGATCTGCCCTTATTCATTTACATCTAAGATTTATAAACTGCTGAACTCTCTTTCGGGAGTTGTTATAACCCTCCTCTCCTGATCCTTTCAAAAGTAGTTTTGATGCCCTTTTAGGGCCCTTTAGTACAGATCGGCAGTACGAAAGAAGCTACCTATCACCTAGTAAACTGTAGATAGCAGTACTACCTAAGTCGTTGATGTTGTACATGACAAAGTGTTGCTACTCTCTGGGACCAGAAAAAAAACTCGTTTGGAAAGGAGCATCAAGCTTGGCTGAGCTTTTGAATAAGTTCTCTTTTAAGAGCTCTTTAGGTCATGGGAAAATCCACAATACTTGGAAGTTGGATCACATAATGCCACTTTTCAAAGGACGTCAAAAAATCAACCCAAAGAAATTCAGGCCGGTAACTCTTCTGTCCGTGCCTTCCAGAGTAACGCAATCATTAAATTGCGATGGACTGGGTAATCGCCGCATGACGAATAACCTCTTTACGCCCCAACCACACGTATTTAGAAAAGGTATCACTAACCTGTTTACTTCGAAAGGCAGATGGTTTAGTACTGTCGAACGAGACAGTAATAATATCATCCATCTAGACTTTCGAAAGCTTATGATAAAACTACTGCTGATTGCCTCATTGACAAAATAAGGTTAATTGGGATCGAACCAACGCCCACTGACAGCCTATCCTCATGTCTAAGTAGACGTTTATCTGTAGTTCAAGTTTCTTTACGGCTTAAGAAACAGAACATCCTAGTGGAGCTTTTCTACTGGGGCCCCTTCATTCTAAATATTCATGAATTACTTGCCCCAACAAATTTCTTCTGAAATCTTTATTTCCGCTGCTGATGTGTAACTATAACGAGAACTTAAAGCCAGGAAGCTAATGTTCCTCTGGAGGAAAACTCGACCTAACTTCACTACTGAGCGGTTAACTATAGACCTTCACTTGACCCTGAAGAATTCAAGGTTTCGGAATAATTGGAAAGACTCGTACCTCAGGATAAGAATGATAATGGTTTAGTGTTCTTTGAGCTTTGATATTTTGTCGTGAAAGTTTCATCATTAGGCTTAGTGACATCGTTGGTACTGAATTTACAAAGAAGCTGCGTTGAAGATGTCACTCAGCTTAGTGATGAAACATCACGACATACTTTCAGAGAACGCCAAACCACTATCAAGCGGAAGATTGTTCGTTTAATACATGATGTGTGCTAAGTATGTAGTCGCAACGGCGAGGAAGTGGAAGCATCCCAAGTGGAGGAAGACTTGGACGTTTTAGTCCTTGATGGGCTTGAAATTCCATTCTACTTGTGACAGATATGGAAACTTTGTGCTCGTAACTTTTAAACGAATCTAAGGACAGCTCGATCACAGATGTTTGCACCTAGTTTTCAGCAGCTTCATAAGGCCTCACTAAGGGTCCAAAACTGCTGTCTCGGTCTTTTTCTAGAGGAGGATACATTGAGCCTAGAATACATCCAGATACGGCCAACCAAATCTGTTCCCGGACTAAGGTCTAAAATATATGAGGAGCAAATGATCGCCCTTGACCTGTGTCCTGTGGTACAAGAACAAATAAGGAGTCTCGATGACGGGTTGCACCATCTTCCACAACCCCTGAACATCCACTCTTTCACTTTCTAAACTGTGGTTATAACAACAATCTTGGAAGAAACATCAAGAAACTAAGATTAGAACATAGCATTTTGTATACCAGGCACAACTTCTATTCCCTGAGTTTTGTTACACTAAGAAATGTTTTACAGAAGTGATCGAGGATACTTCATCTGGTTCGTTCAATTATCGGCTTGATACATACTTTAGCTAAGGGTATAGGCTCCTCAGAAGTAACTGCATTTTCATATTTTAACCTTCACTTACTTGTAAAAAGGTTAAAAACCACGGGAAGTGGTGATACACGGATTCAAGACACGTAAACAAGCTAGGAGGAAGATTGTTCTATTCTGTCAATTTGAATCTCCTGAGTTATTTGGACCTGTATTAAGCTAGTTAATTAGTTCGCTATTCACTTACGTAATAGATAGGT